AAAAAAAAAAAAAAAAAAAAAAAAAAAAACCCGAAAGGATCCGGTTCTGATTGGCTACGATAGGAAGAGGGACAGAGACTTCACCGAATCACAAAATTAGAGGGGTTTTTTTTTCTTCAGTCTCCTCCCTAAAATCCTAGCAACGAGATTGTTTGATTTCCCTCCCCCCCCACACACACACACGGAGGCTGCCATCCTGGGGTTGCTATGGAGACCAGACGCTTGCAGCTGGTAGAGGCCATAGGAACCCAGAAACTGATCACTTAGATCTCAACAAAGCCTCCTGTTGCTTCATTCCGTATCTGCACTCTCCCTTCAGCCGGATTTTTTTTTTCCCCTATGGAAAATTCTACTTCTCTAAAGCAAGAACAAGAAAACCAAGAGCCGGAGGAAGCAGAGGGGCCATGGCAAGGAAAGTCAGAAGCTTCTCCCCAAGATCCTGGTCCCCCATCACCTGAGTACCAGGAAGAGGAGCAAAGGTCTGACACTGAAGTCCCACCCAGAATGAGCCCCTCTTGGACCCCCCAGGCTAGGGCCAGCCTGTCTCTGGGAGACCTCACCGCCGGACCAGGAGGGTCATCCTCCCCTCCTTCGCCTCCTCCGAAGTCTCATTTTATTCCTCCCATGACTGCAGCTACTCAAGAACCTGTTGCTTCATCACAAGGAGAGAGGTCCCCTACTAACACACCTCATTCTGATCCTTGGGAACCATTTTCTGCTGCAAGACAATCAGCTTCTTATTACAGGAGCCAAACAGAGGAAAATGCCTTCCTGCAGCCTCAGGCACACCAACCTGACCTACATGGGATAGGGGATGTCAGCTGTGACAAGTCCAAGGACAAACGGCTGAGATTTGACCTTTTACAGGAGGAAGACTCAAACAGTAACTGCGATCCAGACCAGCCTGGGTTTGGGGCCAATGAAGCAACCCCCAATATGCTTGAGGTGGCCGTGCAGAACGCAAAGGCATACCTGCAGCAAAGTAGCAGCAAGTCTGGCTTAAATCTGTAAATATCACAAGGGGTTGGGGAGGGATGGGGGGAGGTTTAACAACGCAGGGCGAGGGAAGGGTGAGGTGAGTATGTCTGTAAAACTATGTTGGAGGTGAAAGAAAATAGAATTAGAAAGGAATTTATTTGAAAAGGGAAGTTACTGGCTGTGGTAGCAAAGGCATTTAAGCCCAGGACCCGACAGGGGAGAAAGAGACAGATCTGTTATAGGCCAGCCTGTTCTACATAGCAAGTTCCAGGTCAGCCAGGGAAACAGAATGGGACACTATCTCAAAAACGGGGGAGGGTGGTGTACAAAAGTGAGTTAATGAGATAGCTGCCCCTAACACTTAAATCTAGGCCATTGGTGACGATTCTTTTACATCTTGGAAGTCCCTAGTCACACAATTTGGTTGTTTGTTTGGGTTTTTCTTGTTGTTGTTTTGTGTTTATTCTTGGCTTGGGTGAGACTGTAAAGGCATGAGATCTAAGCATACACCCAGGATGCTTGCATGATATAGCTGCCTAAAATGACTGTGGGTTCTTGTAGTCCTTTGAGGGCTTGTGCGGCTTGACTCTATGTACATTACCAGGCCAGTGCTTGGGTGGTCACCCATGCTGGTTTTCTTAGAATTGTGCTAAGCTTTGAGCACTGAAAGGTCTACATCATGTATTCTACAGGAAACCAGAAAAACTAGCCACTTTAAAACATGCTAGGTCTCTCTTTTTAAAATGTCGTAATTCTGGTACATTCTTGACATCCCATTGCTGCTTTCATATGTTAGCTCATAGTAGTATACATATAAGCAAGTAGACATTCTTGTTTCCAGGTTTACATAGTCACAGAAGAATTTTGTGTCTAGAAGAGGTGTTAGAAAACATCAAATGGAGGCTGAAGAAACCATCAGTAGTTAAGAACACTGGCTTCTCTTTTAGAAGACACAGGTTCAATTCCTCACAATTGTCACTCCAGTTTAAGAGGTCCTGAACTCCTCTTCTGGCCTCCCTGGTAACAGGCACACACCAGTTGCACAGACTTACATGCATTCAAAACTACAACAGTTTTAAACAAGTTATAAACAGTTATAAACAAGGTGTAATGTTGTAAATAAAAATGGTGTCAGGATAAATATTTATTATTAGCCCTATAATTGTTACAGCAATTGTTTTAACTTGCTATCACAATTGATAAGACACAGATTTTTATAATTAGATTTTATGTTAGATTTTATAATTTTATATACTTACTTTGGGCTGGGTAAATATTTCCACCTATGCTATCTCAATAACCTTCCCATCCATCTCTCAGGCCCCATACAATGCACTCTATCTTAACCATTTCTATCTGGGCTACCTTTCATCCATAATCTTATAAATACTTGCTTATATTTTTCATCTTGTTCTTTTCTCCATCCATGCCATCCTAGAAGTCTTCCTCCTAGCCAGTGTAGTTCCTTCTCCACACTAACCCATCATGGTGTCCTCCTCCTTCGTCTCTTCCTGTCTCTCAGGTTCCCATGAGTCTCCTGAACCCAAAGCCTGGGAACCTTAGCCATTCCTATACCATTCTGCCCTGCCCAAGTTTTAGGCCTTTTAATCAACCAATCAGGAATAATGTCTTAGGCAGGTTTACACAAGATAGTAACCAGTAACCAGATATTGGGGGCTGGTAATTAAAATACAACCCCCAAAGTGTAATTAATTTGCAGGAGGGTAAATGAAGTCTCACCAATTTAGTTGTGAAAGTGAGAACAAAATGTTACAATCACCACTGTAGAGGAAGGCCACACACCTAAGAATATTTGGACAGTACAAATTGGCCTTGATGAAGTGGTAAAAATGGACACACAGTTGGGTAAGTGATAAGGGAGTTGGGTCTGGGAAAAGTTGGGAAAGAGGAGGTGAATATGACCAAAACATATATGAAATTCTCAAAGAATTAACAAAAATTGTTTAAAACAAAAGGAAAAAAGCAATTAATTTGGTGACTTGTTTTTAAGTGTATATGTTTAGAAAGCAAATTGAAATGTATCCTTTGGGGGCCTAAAAACATTGAAGCAAATTAAAAGTAAGATGTAGGGGCTGAAGAGAGGGCTCAGTGGTTAAGAGCACTAGTTGCTCTTGCAGGAAACCAGGATTCTGAAGCCATTACCCACATGGTAGCTCATAACCATCAGTTAACTCCAGTTACAGAGAATCCAATAACTTCTGACCTCTTCAGGAACCAGCATGCAAATGTTGCACACACATACAATGCAAGCAAAACACTTACATATATATATATATATATACATATATATATACATAACATACATATATATATGTATAACATACATATATATATAAACACACACACACACACACACACACACACACACATATATATATATATATATATATATATATATACGTCTTTTTTAAAATGATGTAGGTGCTGAAGAAATGGCTTAACCATTATAAGTATGAACTGTTTTTTCAGAGAACTGGAGTTTGGTTTCCACCACCCATATCAGGCATCTCACAAGCACCTACAACTCAGATTCCAGGAGATCTGACATGTTCTAGGTCTAGCATGGGCACTTATTTTCACATGCAAATGCCTACATGCATAGATGTCATTGGAAAAAAATCTTTTAAAATATATAAGATGGTAAGAACATAGCTATAAAAGAGGCATCAGAATCTGGCTCTCCAATCATATTTGGTAAGGGCAAGGATGGGGAACAGAAAGAATTTAAGGTAAGAGAGAGTGAAAAACTTCATCACTGATAGTATATAGCTAAGAGATTCCAGTTTCAGGAATGAAATGTGATAATAGCTGATGTGTACTGTATATCTTGCTGTTATGCTTTCCTCTACTAACTTAAAGTGCTATCATATTAGAGGATTTACTAAAGAAAATTGTAGATTCTATCTGGAGTGATAGAATCTTCACTTAAAATCTCTTAAGGTCTCAAATTTTTTAGCTTCCCTAAAACCCAACCGGATGTGCATGAAAACCATTTATTTATTTTATTTTATTAATTACAGTTTATTTATTTTGTATCCCAGCTGTAGCCCCATCCCCAACCCCTCCCAATCCCACTCTCCCTCCCTCTTCTTCTCCTGTGCTCCTCCCCAAGTCCAATGATAGGAGAGGTCTTCCTCCCTTTCCATCTGACCACAGCCTATCAGGTCTCATCAGGACTGGATTCTTTGTGTTTCTCTGTGGACTGGTAAGGCTGCCCCTCCCCCCCAGGTGATTCAAGAGCAAGCCCATGAGTTCAAGTCAGAGATGGTCCCTGGTCCTATTATTGGGGAATCCCCTTGGATACTGAGCTGCCTTAGGCTACTTTTGTGCAGGTGTTCTAAGTTATATCCATGCATGGTCCTTGTTTGGGGTATCAATCTCAGGAAAGACCCCTGTGCACAGATTTTTTGTTTCTGCTGCTCCCCTTGTGGAGCTCCTATTCCCTCTAGGTCTTTCTATCTACCCCTTCTTTCATAAGATTCCCTGCACTCTGCCCAGAGTTTGGCTATGCATCTCAGCATGTTTTGATACCCTGCTGGATGGAGTCTTTCAGAGGCCCTCTGTGATAGGCTGCTGTCCTGTTCCCTGTTTTCTCCCTCTTCAATGTCCATCTCATTTGCCTTTCTGAATGAAGATTGAGCATAAGTGTAATGATGTTACCTGGAATTGTTTGTTTGCATAGATATGATCATCTTTCTAATTTGCTGACCAAAATACTAGATGGGCGTCCTGCAGATGCTGTTGACATCATTGAAACTATAAGCCAAGATGTGAAAATGGAACATTTTAATAAAAAATTAGATACAATCTGCAATGAAAATGAGATGCTTCCAGCATATGAAATAGCAGAGAAGCAAAAGGCTCTCTTTCTCCAGGGTCATTTGGAAGGCGCTGATTCAGAGCTGGAAGAGGAAATTGTAAGTGATTAACAACTATCTCAATGGCGTTAGAATGCACTGGAATCTCAGGGGTTAGTGGGGTTTGCTTCATGAACACGCCATGTTTAAACACTGTGATGTGATTACTAACTTGACACTAATGAACACTGGATGCTCAGGGATGAATGAGATTTATGTTACAAGCATACCAACTATTTTTTAAAATAATTTTTATTTTATTTTTATATTAATCACAGATTATTTACTTTGTACCCCAGCTGTAGCCCCCTCCCTCTTTCCTTACCAATCCCACCCTTCTTCCCTCATCTCCTGCCTGTCCCTTTCCAAGTCCACTGATAGGGGAGGTCCACCTCCCATTCCATCTGGCCCTAGCTTATCAAGTATCTTCAGGACTGGCTGCAATGTCCTTGTCTGTGGCCTAGCAAGGCAGCTCCTCCCTCAGAAGTGGGGGAGAGGTCAAAGAGCCAGACACTGAGTTCATGTCAGAAATAGTCCCTGTTCCCCTTACTAAGGAACCCACTCGAATACTGAGCTACTGTGGGCTACATCCGAGCAGGGGTTCTAGGTTATATCCATGCATGGTCCTTGGTTGGAGAAACAGTCTTCTAAGACCCCTGTGCCCAGATATATTTGGTCCTTGTGGAGCTCCAGGTCATACTAACTCCCTCTTCTTTCATATGATTCCTTGCACTCTGCCAAAGGTTTGGTTATGAGTCTTAGCTCCTGGGATACCTCACTCAGGATGATCTTTTCTAGATCCCATCATTTACCTGCAAACTTCATGATTTCCTTGTTTTTAATTGCTGAGTAGTATTCCACTGTGTAAAAAGTACCACAATTCCTGTATCCATTCCTTGGTTGACGAGCATCTGGGTTGTTTCTGTACCCCATTTTTTTTAATTGGATTACTTGATTTATTGCCTTTTAGCTTCTTCAGTTCTTTATATATTTTGGATATCAGCCCTCTGTCAGATATAGTGTTCACACCAACCATTTTTAAAGCTCTGTAAATAGTACTTGAGTCAGATTTCTCTTGCATTCCTTCTGGCCTTTTAATCAGTCCATTTTACTATGATCATATGGTGACTTCTATGCCAACAAATGGCATGAATTCTGTAATTTTACGGGACCTTCGTCATATAAGATTTCTGTCATTTTCTAGAAAGTCACTGTTTGTTGCATAATTAAATATGCCATCCACTCAGTCTTAGTCACAACTAATTACTGTGAGGAAACACCACGAATAAGCAACTCTTGAAAGAAAGCCATTTAATTGGGGACCTGCTTACAGTTTCAGAGGGTTAGTTTATTGTCATCATGGTGGGGATCATGGTAGCACACATGGTGCTGGAGCAGTATATGAGAGCTATATCCTGATCCACAGGCCAAGAGAGCCTATGCCTGGCATGAGCTTTTGAAACTTCAAAGCCAGTGACAAACTTCCTCCAGCAAGGCAACACCTACTCCAACAAGGCCACACCTCCTAATCCTGCTGGAAGCATCTCATTTTCACTGTGGAGTGTAGCTTCTGTTTATTAAAATGTGCTGTTCTTTCAAAGACTTCTGCTCCCTGGTGACTAAGCATTCAAATATATGAATGAAGTCTATGGGGCCATTCTGTTTCATATCACAGCACATTTGTTATTCAGTGAGTACTTAACAAGCAGGTATAAACCCATATCTGTTCCAGGACATTTCATCAACATGTGAAATGTGAAAAAAATCAACGTGAAAAAAATTATTTTCACTGATATCAAGAAACTTAGCCCCCCCCAAAAAAAAAATAAAAAGCTAAGCCTTGTAAAATGTGGAAAAAAATGAGAACACCCCCTCCCCCACAGAAGGAGTGTTGTGAAATGAGATGCATGTGGTGGTGGTTCCATGAAAAAAAAAAAAACAAAAAACCAAAAAACAAAACAAAACAAACAAACAAACAAAAAAACCTGTTGCAGTGATAAGGCTTATTTAAAAGTAAACACAGGCTGGGCCTGGTGGGAGCATGAGGAAGTAGGAGGCAGAGGAGGCAGAGTGATTTCTAAGGCCAGCTTGGTCTACATAGTGAACTCTAAGCCAGCAATGGATTCGTAGTGAGTGAGATTCTTTTTCAAAAGAGGAGGTAGGAGACTGGAGAGGGCTTGGTGGTTTTGAGCACTGGCTACTCTTCCAGGGGACCTGGGTTTGAGTCCAAGCGCCTTCTTGGAGGGCCACAACTATAACTCCATCACAGACAATACTTGCAGGCAAAATACCAATACACATAAAAACTAAAGTTAGGCTTAAAACAATTTTAAGTAAAGTATACACAATTATGTATACTAGGTGTTTGGTAGACTGTGTCATCTAGGCTTGAAAAAGTTCACCCCATATTTGCAAGACCAACTTGCTGAATGAAATCTCTCCAAATGTGCCACAATAAGGTGATACATAATTGTAATTAAATTTTTTAAATAAAATTCCATATTTTTTCTTTAAAGTAAGTTCAAAACTTAAAGGTACTTCTGATGTCACTTCCAATGTGTGCTCTTTGTTATGATAAGCTCCATTTGTCTTGATATTTAAATATAGGAAAGGGGCTCCCAGTTGTCTAATGCAGCTTCACTAGGTCAGGATCTGCACCCCAATCCAGGTGAGTGAGAGCACACGTAAGTTGTTTCAGACTGGAGCCTGACCACCTTTGACCATATTCCAAGAATCTTCCTAAGAAGGTCAGTTCAGCAGCTGTGGGACATGAGGGCTAAGCTATGGGATAAAGAGTACAACTTTCCCTCAGAAGGCAGGAAGATGATAAAGGCTGCTGTCACATGCCTTAAAGGCCTAGCTGGGTTCAGTCCCAAAACCTACATGCTTATGGACAGAATCAAAAAGTTGCCCTTTGACCCCCACAGTTGTGCTCCTGACACCAAGATGTTATAGATAAGTGAGTAGGGGTAAGAGCAGGTGACACTTTAACATGCCAAGAAAAGAATTTTACAGTCATATGTCACTGGTGAGGACATTAAAAGGAACTATATTAACCAGGCCCAGGCCAGGTGGCTTTTAATACCAGCACTCAGAGGCAAAAGCAGACAGATCTTTGTGAGTTCAAGGCCAGCCTGTTCTACAGAGTGGATTCCATCCAGGCCAGTCAGGGCTACATACTAAGACCCTGTCTCATAAAAGCAAAAACAAACCACCCAAATCTTTAGTTTATCTTGAGACCACAATGAAAAAAATAGAAATAGCAAGTCATTTATAAAAATAATGAGTGCTTTTAACTTCTCTATCTTGTGAGTCAAGACTAGGAAGCATCTCACTTCCATTAAGGTTCTTTCCTACTTTCCTCTGGTCTTATAAATGCTATTCTCTTGTCCATCTGTCACTATGTGCTCATTTTTCTGTATTTCTTTTATGAAGTTATGTTTCTCTCAATTGTTTCAAATGTTATTTAGTATAATGTCAAGTACTTACATTTGTAATTTAAAACATAGATTATACCAAGCACTTTAAAAAACATTTTCCTTTTTATCCTTCCCATTGTCTTACATATATTACTATATAGATTATTTACCTGATATATGTGTAAAACCATGAATTTAGTATTTAATATGACAACACAAATGTATATAAATGGGTGCCTATAAGTTGTGATTACTATATCTTCTTTCAGCATTAGTTACTTATTTTATATGAAAATGTTATTTTTTTTCAGATAAGGTCTCACTATATAGCCCTGGCTGCTCTGGGACTTGCTATATAGGCCAGGCTGGCCTGAAACCCTCAAAGATCTACCTGCCTCTGCCTCCTAAGTGCTAGGATAAAAAGTGTAAACCAGGGGACTGGAGAAATGGCTCAGTGGTTAAGAACACTGTCTGTTCTTCCAGAGTTCCTGAGTTCAATTCCCAGGAACCACATGGTGGCTTATCACCATCTATACAGCAATCTGATGCTCTTTTCTGGCTTGCAAGTGTACATGCAGATAGAACACTCATATAATAATAAATAATAAAGAAAAAAAAAGCTTAAAAAAATGTAAACCACCCTGCCTGGCTTGAATTCCTACCATTAGTAAGTATGCAAGTTTTTTTTTTTTTCTAAGAGTTACATAATAACCATCATACCAATGAGCATAGTGCACAGCTGGTATAAGAAGCTATATATGTGACAGAAGAATTAAAGTTTATGGATTTAAACAATTTGATGCGTATCTCAAAAGAAACAGTAGAGGAGAAAGTAGAGCTAGAATCAAGACTCAGAAAAGAGGCGGCAGACATTCCTCTTATGAATAAAACTTTAACCATGAATATTTGTTTTCCTAGGCGGAAAGCTCTCTGCCTAATGTGATGGAATCGGCTTATTATTTTGAACAAGCTGGAGTTGGTTTGGGGACAGATGAGACTTACCGAGTATTTCTTGCCCTCAAGCAACTTACTGACACACATCCAATCCAAAGATGCCGCTTCTGGGGCAAGATCTTAGGTCTGGAAATGAATTATATTGTTGCTGAAGTGGAATTTCGTGATTGTGAAGATGAAGAGGAGATGGAAGAGGAAGGGGTAGCTGAAGAGAGGGACAATGAAGAAAGTGAAGCCAGTGAAGGCGAGGAGGATGAATTACCAAAGTCCTTATATAAGGCCCCACAGGCTATACCTAAGGAAGAAAGTAGAACAGGGGCCAATAAGTATGTCTATTTTGTTTGCAATGAGCCTGGAAGGCCATGGGTGAAGTTACCATCAGTTACTCCTGCACAAATTGTTACAGCAAGAAAAATCAAGAAATTTTTCACTGGGCGACTAGATGCGGCCGTTGTAAGCTACCCACCCTTCCCAGGAAATGAGAGCAATTACTTACGAGCACAAATTGCCCGGATTTCAGCAGGCACCCATGTTAGCCCTCTAGGATTCTATCAGTTTGGTGAAGAGGAGGAGGAAGAAGAAGAGGTAGAAGGTGTTCGAAATAGCTATGAAGAAAATCCTAATTTTGAAGGCATCCAAGTGACTGACCTGGTGGAATCTCTGTCCAGCTGGGTTCATCACGTGCAGTACATTCTTCCTCAGGTAGGAGAGGATCCCAGTAGTACACAGATGCAGATTTGCGTGTGTTCTGAAATTATTCTACTTGTTAATGTTTTAAATATGGGTGTGCGTTAACTTTGTCAACATTTCTTTTATTCCACTATAATATAAACTAAAAGATTACGATAGAAACAAAAGCCAGTTTTGTACAGGCATTTATATAGAGCCTCTTATACTAAGTATACTCCCTGTAATCAATTATGTATGTAAATGCATATAATTCAGTCCTCACCACCTCAATCCCATGGGGGTTGCAGGATCACCTTTATTTTCATAACAAGGGGTTGAAGCATACAATGCTGGGAAAAACGGAAAAGCAATCTTAGCCAATACATTATAGAGTGAGATGTAAGACAAAGGGCTTGTAGCCATTCCCCTGAAACATCTGCTACACTCCTCCATCATGAGCAGAAACTCTTCAATACACATCCACAGGATGTTTTCCTGAATACGCTACATAAGAGTTATTACCTGAGAAATTAGAACTGTTATGGTATCACATATAAAATTTTGTTATTGATAATGATTAGCATTGGAAGGGGATATGAGAGAAGATAGTTGGGGCTGAATATGATCAAAATATGTTAAATACTTGTGTGAAAAGTATACAATGAAACATTATTTTGTTTAGATACTATATGCTAATAAAAATTAATACTAAGAAAAAGTACCATGAAGGCCAGATATATGCCATTATTAATCATTTCACTGCGGCAATTGTGGCAATGTCTTAGAACCATTTATACTTTAGTAATATTCTATAAATCAGGAAGTATAGGAACTGGATGAGTGCTTGTCTGGTAACAGTGCTAGCTGCTCTTCCAGAAGATCCAAGTTTGTTTCCCAGTATCCCTGTCAGGCAGCTCACAAAGATCAGCAACTCTAGCTTTAGGATATCTCGTATCTTCTTCTGATCTCCATGGCACACATGCACATGATAGATTTTTTATTTTTCAAGACAGGTTCTGATTTTGCCTCCCTGCCTAGCCTGAGTCCTGCCATGTAGACCAGGCTAGCTGTGAACTCACAGAGATCTGCCTGCCTCTGCCTCCTCAATGCTAGAGTGAAAGGTGTGTTCCACTATGCCTGGACTTGATGATGGAATTTTACAATGTTAAATGGTTGTAAAAACCTTTCTGATAATTTCTAATCTCAAATAACATAACAGTAAAATCACTTAGAACATTTCAAAAGAAATGAAAAAGTATGTATTTTTTTAAATCACCATTTATACACAAACTAGTACAATATACTACTACCATTTCCACTAATTTTCTGCCCATTTTAAAGTGTACGTAGACCTCCAAGTTCTGTAACTCTAAGAAACAGAAAATTGTTGAAATGACTAGTATATGTTTGTTGCTTTTCCTGAAGTAACAGAGATGGCTATAATACTTGGTAAAAGTATACAGAGTGTATAAGCTAAGTGTGGTGGTATTTGTCACAAAGCCTGCCACTCTGAAAGCTGAGGCAGGAGGATCATATAAAGTGACCCTGTATCAAAACAGTTGACCAGTTCCCCCACAGAGAAGCCTCATCTTGATAACTACCAACCAATATGAATAGTCTAAGATGTGTAAAAGTTGCAACATTCATCTCCAGGGTCGCTGTAGTTGGTTCAACCCTCTACAGAAAAACGAGGAAGAGGAAGAAGAGGAGGAAGATGAAGAAAAAGGAGAAGAGCCTGACTACATAGAACCAGAAGTGGGGCCTCCTCTTTTGACACCAATTTCTGAAGATTTAGGTAACTTTACACAACTGTTTTTGAGGGACTCATAAACTATATAATATACCCACTGAGTGGTAAATATGTCAACTATTGGAGACTCTAAGAAGTGGGCAGGGAGCTAGGTGTCATCCCTTCTCTCCTTGCTGGGTTCTAGAAAGTTCTAGACGGGAGTAAAGAATGCTTTTGGCTACACTAACATGCTTTGAAGGAAGCTGAAGGAATGATACACAGAGAATCATGAATGGGCCATAACTAACTGGAAAGGTTGGCATCATTCTTGCTGTACATTCTGTACACCACACATGGCATAGCTACAGTAACATATTATATGAGGTCTACAGTTGCCATTTAGTCTACAGCTGTCTCTGTATCATTTCTCCCTATTCTGTTTTGCTTGAAACTCTTTATTAGTCTCTTCCATGGTAATAAATTGCCTTTCCTTTGGTTATCGTATTGTTCCCTGATTACAAAACACTTTCTCTCCTTTAGTCTCTGTTGCAAAAATGTTTATACACATTTATATTTTTATGTTATATATTTATATATAACATATTATGTAAATATCTGTACTATATATACATGCTTAAAATTGCTTTGGTTCAGAGCACTCCATTTTATATCAAGATGCTGTTTTAACTTTTTTTTAGCAAACATTGATGATTGTTCCATATTTATAAAAATCATTTCAGTCACCAGTCGATTCTTTTCTGTCTAGGAGTTAAGCTTATAAATTTCTCATTGGGTTCCAGAAATTCAGAATATACCCGCTTGGACAACAAGGCTATCCTCAAATCTCATTCCACAGTATGCTATTGCTGTCCTCCGATCCAATCTTTGGCCTGGAGCATATGCCTTTTGCAATGGCAAGTAAGTATCTGGCTACTTACAAAGCCATTTGTAACCAAATTCAACACTTTATACTTTAGTGCGTGCAAAACCAATGCAAGCACCATCAGGACACAAAAATGAAGAAGGATTTTTTTGACCCACAGCAGGTATGTTGAACAACAAAATCCATTTCAAAGCACCTCCCTGGTCAAAAGATGGAAGAATGATGGTTTTGTTCAGGGAGCTCACACATTCATCCACAGCAGGCACATTCTTGAGTGCTCTGAGTTGTAAGCAGTCATTCCCAAGCATATTCAATTTAAAGTCATAATCAAAGAAGGAAAGATAACAGACACATTGTGAGACATGTTTAGCTGAAGGTCATATATCACATGGTTTTGGATTGACTGAAGTCCTAGACAGGAAAGACTGGGCTTGCTCAACTTGCAGCATAAACTTTAGGCAGAAATAGGACACTTTTTTTGAAAGTACATTAATACAGGCATTTGACTTTGAAAGTTCTCATCTTTCTTAGTGTGTGACAATTTTTTTTAATTATTTAGGGTCTGGAAATTATGTCATCACAGGGATGTTAAGATAAGTCCTAACATGTTTGGCATATTAAGTATAGTGTATAATTTATCAAAATGACTTTTGAAATCCATTAAAGCATGAAATTCAGAGCTAGAGTAATTTGGGGTTGTACTCTTTTATCTTAATTTTCCCATTTATCTACATTGGACTACATTTATCTACATTGACTTACTAAGTTAGTGAACTAATGGAGAATTTAAGGTGCAACTGAATTAGACTTTTTTTTTTTTTTTGGGCATTTTGGTGAAAGTTACTTAAGATATGCTTGTGCTTTAACTATCAAGGGAATTAGAATCAAGAAACCACTACAACTTCTTTTCTCTCTTGTTGAGAAAGAACATGGTCACATTTGCCTTGTTTATTTTCCTTTCTTAGGGTCATCAGAAAGCTCAGCTGAGCAGGTGAGAGCCAAGCTGTGATGATTAGACTAGCCATTAAAGCAAGCCTCCTGCTCAGGAGTTAGTTGGCCAACACAGCACACCATGTAGTGTGTGCGCGTGCGTGTGCGTGTGTGTGTGTGTATCTGTGTGTCAAGAAAATTGAGTTGGATGGATGTGGGCATGGAAGGAATTGGTAGAAGAAAAAGAATATGATAAAACATTATATGAAAAAAATTAAAAACCACAGTAAGTCAGAAGTAAAAGGCACGCTTTTAAATTATTTACCATTATAGCACAAAGAAGAGAAAGCTTTGACTTCTCCCCCGCATCATTTTCTTCCAAGGATCATGTGGATTTTCAGAAATGTGGGTGTCACAGATACATGGGTATCAGGAGGTCATCTCTTTAAGAAGGAACGCCATGAAAGAAGGCTCTGGACATTTTATGGGGGAGTTGGGGTGGGATTGTGTGGAGGGATGGGGCTTCAGGCCTGAGATAGAACACTAAGAATGAAGGCTCTTGAGTTTGGAATTTGAATGTAAGAGCATGACCAGCCTTGGGAACAGAGTCCTTGACTGAAACTCCCTTTAGCTGCTTGTGTATCATGTGTGTGTGTGTGTGTGTGTGTGTGTGTGTGTGTGTGTGTGTGTTAGTGAGTGAGTGGGGGGGAGGATTCCTAAGTGGTGTGAGGCCTACAGAGTGAAGCCTCTGTAATTCCTATCATTGGGGATGAACAACACAAATTAATTTTAAGCCACACCTCTTATTTTTCTCTCAGCCAAGGTCTAGCACTTTTGACCTCTGTGGAAAATCTAAAACATTAAATATTTGAATAACTAGAGGCCCTTTCCTGAAGGAAGACTAGATACAGATTTGACAGGACCTGATCCTGTTTTTCATAATCAACTTAGCAGTTTCGATCAGATAATATCCAGTAGTTGAGGAAATATTGAGGACTATTTCACGCTAGCATTTTAAATGTCTTATGGTTCCAAGGTATAGTAACAAGACATTATCACTATGAAGGGGTCGGCTTTTCTTTAAAGACACAACTTGATTTTCTTTCCATTTATAGGAAGTTTGAAAACTTCTACATAGGCTGGGGTCATAAGTATAGTGTGGAGAATTACACACCCCCAGGTCCACCACCAGTTTACCAAGAATATCCCAGTGGACCAGAAATTACAGAAGTGGATGATCCCAGTGTGGAAGAGGAACAGGCTTTCAAGACTACACAAGAGGCAGTTGAACTTTCAGCTGAGGAGAACGAAGAAACTGAAGATGAAGATGATGATGATGATGATGATGATGATGACGACTAATACAGAATTAGCCCAGTTTTATGTGGCACTAACACACACAAATCTTTAAGGGGGGGCTGATTATACATATATGATATATATATTATATATCATATATATGATATATACGTATATATAGTTATCAAATGAGGGAGACACATAGAGAGATGACTTAGTGGTTACAAAAAAAAAATGTTTTTGCTGAGGACAGGAATTTAGTTGCTAGCACCCAAGTCAGGGAAGTTCACTACCACCTGCAACTCCAGCTGAAGGCGATCTAATGCCCTCTTCAACCCTCCACAGGCACCACACGTGTGCATACATGCTCACTTACATAAAAACATATCTTTACAAAACATTTTAAAAAGCTGGGTGTAGTGAAACACACCTTTACTACCAGCATTTGGGAGGCAGAGCCAAGAGCATCTGTGTGAGTTCAAGGCCAGACTGGTCTGTATAATGAGTTCCAGGGGAGCCAGGGCTATATGAGGACAACCTGTCTCAAAAATAACAAATCTTTAAAAACATACATCAAATTGGAAACTTCATATATAGAACTTCCAGTATTTACAGAAAGTTGCCCAGTAGATTTTCCAAAAGCTCATGAAATGATCATATCACTGTTTTAATGGTTACAACTAACATAATTAACACTTTAGTAATCCTGCTTTGAAAATATCTCAAATTATTTTTTTCTTCTTTTTTTTTTTTTTTTTTTTTTTCCTTGACAGGGTCTCACTATGTAGCTCTGGCTGTCCTGGAACTGACTATGCAGAAAAGATTGGCCTCCAACTCAGAAAGATCCACCTGTCTCTGCGTCCCATGTGCTAGGATTAAAGGAGTGTACCACAATACTCAAATTTAACTCCTAATATGGCAAGTATTGAAAGTTATAATTCACAATGCTTCTTGGAAACTTCTAGTTTTTGAGAGTCAAGGAATATGGAGTTTAAAACATTGATAACCAGGGACTAAAGAGATGGCTCAGTGGCTAAGGGCACTTCTTCACTTGCAGAGGACCTGGGTTCAGTTACCAACATCTACACATTAGCTTGAACACATCAGTTCCAGGGAATCCAACACTGCCTTCTTTCAGGGGTAACACAGACACACAAACACACACACATCATGTGTGTGTATGTGGGGGGGGGGGCGACAAAATACTCATACGTGTAAGTCCAAAAAAAAATAAACAAACCTCTAACCATTAACAGAAAGCATTATTCTAGCTTGCCTGCCAGAACTGGAGTATGCATTCTTAAATCTGTAGTTGCTTATTCTGGAAGCAATGATATTATGTGCAAATATTGTGCATGTGTACTTATTCTCTTCCCTGGATGAGCATTCACGATTCTATAATCTGAGTAAAAGCTGAAAAGTTCCCATTTATTGACTGTTAATCTTAGAGCCTATGCTGTTCAGGAAGTTGTCTCCTGTGCCAGTGAGTTCAAGGCTCTTCCCCACTTTTTCTTCTAACAGGTTTAGTGTGTCTGGTTTTATGTTAAGGTCTTCGATTCACTTGGACTTTAGTTTTGTGCAGGTGATAAGTATGGATCTATATGCATTTTCTACATGTAGACATCTAGTTAGACTAGCACCATTTGTTGAAGATGCTCTTTTTTCCATTGTATGGTTTTGGCATCTTTGTGAAAATTCAGGTGTCCATACGTGTGCGGGTTTATTTCTTGGTCTTCTATTCGAATCCATTGATCCACTAGTCGGTTTCTATGCCAGTACCATGCAGTTTTTCATTACTGTTGCTCTATACATCAGGAATGGGGATACCTCCAGAAGATCTTTTATTGTAGAGGATTGTTTTAGGTATTCTACGTTTCTTGTTATTCCATAGGAAATTGAGAATAAAAATCTGGGCACAAAGATCTTTTCTGAGACTGATATTCCAACCAAGGACCATGCATAGAGATAACCGAGAACCCCTGCACAGATGTAACCCATGGCAGCCCAGTCTCCAAGTTAGTTCCCTAGTAAGGGGAACCAGGGCTGTCTCTGACATGAACTAAGTGGCTGGAACTAAGTGGCTGGCTCTTTGATCACTTCTCCCTGAGCAGGGAGCAGCCTTATCAGGACACAGAGGAAGACAATGCAGCCAGTCCTGAAGAGACCTGATAGGCTAGGGTCAGATGGAAGGGGAGGAGGACCTTCCCTATCAGTGGACTGCAGGAGGGTCATGGGAGGAGAAGAGGGAGGGAGGGTGAGATTGGGTGGAGACGAGGGGGCTACGGCTGGGATACAAAGTGAATAAATTGTAATAAATAACTTTTAAGGCTGTTTTCAAATTCTTAGATCTTTTGTTTTCCTCAACTTCTCCATCCATCTCCTTTCTCTTCCTTATTGGTGGGAAAGGATTACAGAGATGAGAGGTGACAATATCCAGACACTTTAAACTTACAATCTCTACCACTAACACTCTGAAAACATTCTAATTCACTAAAAAGGCATTTTAAAAATTATTTTATTATGTTGTGTGTATTAGGGCTTTGCCTGCATGCAGGTAAATGCATCATGTGCATGTATGATGCCTACCAGAGTCATTCATTGTTGGATGCCATGGAACTGGAGTAACAGGTGGTTGTGAGCCACCACGTGGTGCTCAGAAGTAAACATAGGTCCTCTTTCTTGGAAGAGGAAAAGGTGCTCTTAACCACTGAGCCAACTCTTCATCCTCCAGCATTTAAAAATCTAAATGGACTAGCCATCATAAAATTAGGAATAAAACCTAGACACTGCCCCTGAGTATTGCTTTTACTGAAGAGGGAAATATAAAATTAAAGAGAGTACAGTTTACCAAGGGGCTGCATTTTGGCAAGGAACTTTGGATTGAATATAACTTCCAGTGAAAGGTATGGGGAGGTAGGCAAAGGCTGGCCAGTGGGTATAGCTGTTGCCATGGCTCCAGGGATTGGTCTGAGAGATGAGGGAATGAAAAAAAGATAAACACACACAGGAGAGCTGGGATTGGGAAAACTGGTCTGAGGGAGAAATATCAGCAACCATGTTAGCAGTCCCGTTGTGTTTACTGTGCACAGTTAAACAGGGAGGCAGGGTTTTCGCATACAGCCAGAGAAGGAGGCACTTGAACGAGGAGGCAGCTTTGACCAACATTGGTAAAAAGTCTCTGTAGGGTAGAAGTCTTCAGACCGTAGACATGGAGTGGGAATTGAGAAAGCTACAGTGGATATTTTTCTGTCCTCGCTGTCAATACTTGCACCCGGACCCTAGGAAGGCTTTACCATTCCATGGGGCTGAGGCATTGGTCCCTGGTGTGACCATGCCCATGTCTACAATACACACCCACTCAAGGTTCCACTGGCTTTCCTGCAGGCTGGCATTTACAAACCAGCAAGAGACAGTGGCAAACTAGGTCACACAAATACATGTAAAGGTTAAACACTTTAGCTTTAATGTTAAGGGCAAAATATAGATAACTAAGGCTGAGAGTTTCATTGGGAGTCTGTCTGATAATCTAGGCGACGGAAACACAACTATATAGTGATATAAAATAGAAATTGACTGTCAAGAGGGCAGGTGGAAAGGGTTCTCCAAGTACTAAATTCTTGTTTTTGTTTGTTTTCTTTTGTTTTCTGAGAAAGGATTTCTCTGTGTAGCCCTGGCTATCCTATTGCTTTGTAGACCAGGCTGGTCTTGAACGAAAAGATCCGCCTGCCTCTGCCTCCCCATTGCTGGAATTACAGGCATGCGAGCCTGGCAAATTCTTGTTCTTAAGAGTACAAAGTTCAAGGCATATACCCAAAATATGCTCAAGTACACAAAAAGGACATCTGATCAACCATGTTCATAGCAGCTTTATTCGTAATAGCCAGAACCTAGAAACAACCCAGATGCCCCTCACCTGAGGAAGGCATAGAGAAATTGTGGTATATTGACAAAATGGAATACTACTCAGCAATTAAAAACAAGGAAATTATGAAATTTGCAGGCAAATGGTAGGAACTAGAAAAGATCATCCTGAGTGAGGTATCCCAGGAGCAGAAAGACACACATGGTATATACTCACTTATAAGTGGATATTAGATATATAATATAGGATAAACATACTAAAATCTGTACACATAAAGAAGCTAAGCAAGGAGGAGGACCCAGAATAAGATGATCAATCCTCACTCAGGAAAGCAAACAGAACAGACATTGGAAGAGGGAGAAAACAGGAAACCGGACAGGAGCCTACCACAAAGGGCTCTACCCATCAGGGTATTAAAGCAGATTCTGAGGCTCATAGCCAAACTTTGGGCAGAATGCAGGGAATCTTACAAAAAAAGGTGAGAAAGACCCGGAGGGGACAGGAACTCCACAGGAGAGCAGCAGAATCAAGTAATCTGGGCACAGATGTCTTTTTCTGAGACTGATACTCCAACCAAGGACCATACCTAGAGATAACCTAGAACCCCTGCACAGATGTAGCCCATGGCAGGTCAGTCTCCAAGTGGGTTTCCTAGTAAGGGGAACAGGAAGTGTCTCTGACATGAACTCAGTGGCTGGCTCTTTGATCACCTCCCCCAAATGAGGGAGCAGCCTTACCAGGCCCAGAGGAAGACAATGCAAGCAGTCCTGATGAGACCTGATAAACTAAGATCAGATGGAAGGAGAGGAGGACTTCCCCTATCAGTGGACTTGGAGAGGGGTGTGGGAGGAGATGGGGAGGGAGGGTGGAATTGGGAAGGAAGAAGGGAGAGGGCTACAGCCGGAATACAGAGTGAATAAACTGTAATTAATAAAAAGATAAAAATTAAAATAAAAAAGGGTACAAAATTCAGTCTTTGCTGGAGCACTGCACTTCGTGTATCTTCAAGCAGGTTCTTACTCTTTTTAGGAAACACATTTTAAATTGCTCAATATCCATTTCTTCTCATTTCTTTCTGAGGACTTCTACAATCATCTATGTTTGCTCTCTTTATAATCTGAAATTTGAACATTGTACAGCTTCTAACTTGATTGTTCCTGCTATAATAACTGACACAAAATTGTAGCTTCTGATTTGGTTCCAACCCACTTCTCTAAGTTAACCACAAATTCTAAGAGTCTTTCAATAATAATCCCTTTGTGAGGTATAGCAAAAGATTCTTGCATACATGCATACAAAGGATACATGACCAGACTCTAACACTCCTTTCCTATATAGGACATATTAAAACAGAAGACGCTCATCAGAGACATAGATTTGTGGACATATTTGACAAGAGAATCCTTGATTTTAGAGCTTGTTACACAGTAAGGCAATAACTAAACAGCATGAATGGAATCTCATTATATGGTAATCTCAGTGTCCCCTAAATAGCTCAAGTGTTCAAAGTCTGGACTCAACTGGTAGATCCAGTTATAGAGATAATTGGACCTGGAGTTCTGACCTAGCCAGTAGATTAGTCATTTGAAGGATTATCTGAACTTGCTACTGGAGGAAGCAGGTCACTCTGGGTGTACTTAGCATGTTCCTGGCCCCTTCCTGCCCCTCCCTCAGCTTTCTGGCCACAGTGAGTAAAGTGCTCTGCTCAAGCACCTCCACAGCCTGCAACCATGATGTTCTGTCTCGGCCTACCAAGTAAGCCTACCAAGCACTGAAACCATGAAGCAAAATAAACATTTCCTCCTTTAAATTAGCTCTTGTATACCTACCACAGCAATAAAACCTAGATTAACAAAAGAAAAATAGTGAGACATCTGTGGGCTCCATCTTGGAACACAGTTATGTTCTTGAATAAATCACTAATTTCTCAGAGATTCAGCTCCCTCATATGGCTAATAATAGTACTTGCCCTCCTGGCAATGGGCAAAGAGACAGCTTATTGGTGGTGGTCTTATATCAGTCAGGGGCAGAGCAGAAGGCAGTCCTTTGTTCATCCTAGCTTGATGCCTGGCTTGGTGGCCAAAACTGTTTTATGCCTAGGACACATAAAAATCAAACCAAATCTAGGCAATGCAGTGCAGAAGGAAGACAGCAGAGACATGTGGACTGATATGCCACCCACAGACCTGCCCTCCAGTGCATGGCACAGGTGGGCCACGGTCACCTGCTCAACGACACACCACGTAGCATGGATGGGGGATATCACCCAGAGACCAGCCAGCCACATGGCCAGTCTGCAGCTGGAACTACCATAGTGTGTGGGTATGTATGTGGTAGTCAGAAGGGAGAGAAGAGAGGTAGAACAGCTTCAGCATTATGAAGGATGGAACTAGAGATTCGAAGGTAGAGAGGAGTAGCCTGTTGTAAATGGCCAGCCCTGTCACTTGGGGCCACAGTAAGGTCCCAACCTGGGCTGCAGCTGAGGGCCACGTCTGAGTGCGTGGTTATGCAGTGGCAGGGGTCAGTATCAATGTCTCTGGCTGGAGCAGCAGCTAGAGACCACCTGGATGTCCAGAGTCTGTGCAGAACTGGCTCTGCCTTTTACTAGGTGCAGAGTTCTGAAAAGCTGGCTCCAACTCTGACTGCTGGCAGCACTCCATTCGGGCAAGCAGGCCCTGTGCCTCACCCAGGAAGCACAGTGGAGCGGGCCCTAATGGCAGGAGTGTGGTTGAGCTGACCCTGCCACTCATCTGCACAGGTATGACACCCACCCCCTTACCACCTTTGGTAGTCAGGAGAGCTGACTCCAAAGGCATTAGAGAGGGAGAGCTAGCCCTGCTCTCTCACTAGCTATAGCACTCAAGAGAGCAGGCCCTACACCTCGCTGGGCAAGACAGTGGGTTTGGCCCTGATGGCGAAGGCATGGGTGAGCCCGCCTGAAAGGATGAGAACAAGAGTTACCTCAGCCTTCTGCTGATTGCAGCCTTGGGTGGCCTAACCTAAGCAGTGGTGGAGAACTCCCCCTAGTGGTTCAGATAAGGGAGAGCCAGTGGGCTGACCAGCTGTGTGACTACCCAGACCCAGATCCAGAACTCTAAGATGGCCCACTCCAAAATCTGTATCATCTGTGATATAGACAGTGTCACAGAAGCTAGAGATCTTGAACAGAGCAATAGCTCATTGTAATAACCATTTGCAAGTGAAGATGTGTGGACAGAGGGATATGCTGGGGGACACACTGTAACATACTACAACTTCCACAATGTTTTCTATGCTTTGGTTTTGCTGTTGCTGTTGTTTGTGTTTTTTATTGGTGGGTTGCAAGGGTGATAGGTAGACAAGAAGAAATGTGGAGATAAGCCTGACTGTGAAGCTTGATGTGAAACTCACAAAGAATCAATAAAAAGTTAAATAATAATAATAGTAACAATACTTGCCTCAACAACCATTTTAAATTAAACCTATTAACAGATGCTAAGTACTAAGAATGCTAACACAAGTAATTCACATTAGCTTATAACTATAAGACAAGTTTCTGATATGTGGACCAGCAATCAAAACCAACAATACAAACAAGGTATTTTATTCAACTAAGTACTAGACGATGATATGCGGAGAAGATAACAGGCATTTATTACTTAAATATATCAAGGACTTAAGCAAAATCAAATTCAACTGTATCAGTAGCAGAAAAAAAGATAATTACAAAACCACAGAAATATCTAATTCAAGGAATCTTCTCTGCTGTAAACACTTGAGAAGCTTGTTTTCTGGCCTTGAAAAAGAATTGAGAAAAAAAAAAAAAAAGGAGCTTTGATTATAATCTAGAAATTAATTATGCTATATTATCACTTTAAAAAAATTTAGTTACATTTATTTTTTATTGGTGTACATGTGTGTGTATGTATGTATGTATATATTGGCATACATATACCATAGCACACAGATGAAGTTGCATAACTGTGGAAGTCAGTTCTCTTTATACCACATGGATCCTGAGGATCAAGTTTGTCAGGATTGAAGGCAAGTACCTCTGACTGCTGAGCCATCTTATCAATTCTGTATATTATTTTAATGTGGAAAATTAAGCCTGGATATTTTTCAAGATAGCAATGAAAATTCCAAGTGGAAAAGTATGCCCTAAAACTTAGCTGTAGCTACCTCCTATTTTATACATTAGTTCTTTCCCCTCGATCTTGTTATTTCCCATGTCCCTCTCAAGTACTCACCCTCGTCTTCAGAGGGAAACAAATATGAGGTCCTCAATAAGTACTCTTTCTATTTTCTCATAACATTTGCAGCTCTTGGGATGGAGAGGTGCTCAGTGGTCAAGAGAGCACAGCGCTCTTGCAGAAGGTCTAAATGCATTTCCCAGCACCCACCTCCAGCAGCCCACGACCACCTGGAATCCAGCTCTAATGCCCTCTTCCAGCTTCTGTGAGCACTGCCCTCAAAAACACAATCCCACTCAAATACATGCAATTAAAAATAAGATAAAAATAAAAATTTAAGATTCTGGGGTCTTATGCATTCTTAGGCTTGGTGTCCTATGATGTAGCTGTAACTCATAACCTCAGTGAAGGTGTTCTAATACCTAGAAATTCTTCAATAATTTGAAACTCATCACTTTACTATAAAGGATAAAGACAAGTTATCCTAGAACTGAGATAACTAGAAGACCACATGAGTTAGGTAATGGATTATTTTTATAACCATTTTACTGTTGCTCATCACTAACTTGTCATTAAAAATTAAATTTACAATTTAAAATTTTTTATGAAGATGAGTTAAGCAAGTAAAAGACATTTAGGTACCATCTAAATTTTAAAATGTCCATTTCAGAAACTCAGTGATATTAGGCATTTGTCATTTCATGAGACAGAATGAGTTCTGAGGTGATAAAACAAGATAACACTGATTTTAACTAAAAATTTTAAACTACTTCAGCCAATACTGAAATACTTACAAGTTTCTCCTCTGGTGAAAGGACACCCTCTACAGCTACAATTTGGTACTGCTTATGTTTCAGATTTCCCACAGATTTCCGCAGTTGCCTCAGACTACTAGCTTCTATGTCTTGCCTTAATAGTTTCTGCATTTCTCGAGAAGGACATCCGGGATCAAATATTAGTAAACACAATGTTCGGTTTTTTCTCTCTTCAATTCCAATAATTGTTCGACTGTGACCTAGTCAATGTATAAATAACAGTCAATATGTCACATCTATACACAGTTATTACTATACATACATTCGTAGTCTCAGTGTGTAGGCTTCTATGTGTTTAGAACACAGACACACACACACAGACTTTCACTGTGTGTCCTGGAAAGGCTTAACATACGTGACAAGTGAGTAAAGACTGAAAGAGAACAAGGGATGAATAATGAGAGCAGTGGACCAGAAAAAGAGGACAGGAAGTGCAAAAGTCGCAAGAAGTTGGGTTCCCGAAGAAGAATATACCAGAATGAAAAGTAGCTCTGACAATCAGTCACAGCTGCCCACCCCATCTCCTCTACTACTGAAATCTTAACTTGTCTTTAAGCAAGAGCTAATCTGCTATCTTAAAAGAGTGCAGTGGTGTGTGAGATCTCCTCACCTTGATGCTGGAGATAGATGGGAGGTTTAGATGTACACACAACCTTTGGGTTCCCTTCTCTCTCTGAAGAATAATAGTTCAATATCCATTCAAATAAGCGAGGGTGTGTACCCGAAGGACCAGTCGACTTGTGAAAATCAATAATGCGGCACCTAAACAATTGACAGAGCAGATAATTTAGAGGATATTTTACAAATTTTTGCAAAAAAAAAGCAATTATTCTAACAAAAAAATCTTAATTTAGAACAAACATATATCCATTACTTCCCTATGAAGGAATGAAAAGTAAATATATTTTTACGCTTTATTTAGAAACCATTTTGTGGGGAAAATAATTATTCAAATCACTACAGTAATTCAAATTATTCAAATCATTCATAGTAAGACTGATGGATGAGCTAAAGGTTACAAAGATTTCCTAACATAAAAAGCCTCCCTGCTTGACTTTTAAAACTCATGGGCCTCAGGGGTCTTTTCTGCGACTGATATTCCAACTAAGGACCTCATGGATATAACCTAGAACCCCTGCACAGATGTAGCCCATGGCAGCTCAGTGTCCAAGTGGGTTCCCTAGTAATGGGAACAGAGACTGTCTCTGACATGAACTCAGTGGTCTGCTCTTTGATCACCTCCCCCCTGAGGGAGGAGCAGCCTTTCCAGGCCACAGAGGAAGACAATGCAACCAGTCTTGATAAAACCACATAGGCTAGGGTCAGAGGGAAAGGGAGGAGGACTTCCCCTATCAATGGACTTGGGAGGGGCATACGAGGAGATGAGAGAGGAAGGATGGGGTTGGGAGGGAATGAAGGAGAGGCTACAGCTGGGATACAAAATGAATAAACTGTAATCAATAAAAAAATAAATAAATAAATACATAAATGAATAAACTCATGTGCCATAAGCTGGGACATTACCACTTCATTCTAATGCCTCTAGCCCTGATGATCAACTAGAAACTGACTCGAGGGCTAGTACAATGGTTCAGTGAGTAAATGTGTTTGCTGTGCAAGGATGGTGACCTGAGTTCAATCCCTGGTGCCCACATTAACGTGGAAGGGTATATCACTCCACAAATTTGTCTTCTGACCTCCACATGCACACTCAAACACATATAGTAATTAAAAATTAGGGGATTACAGAAACAGCTCAGTGATTAAAAGGACATACTACTCTTACAAAAGCTCCACATTTGGTCACAATCGGCTGATAACTCCGGCCCAGGGGATCCACCTGCACTCATGTGCACATATACACAAATATGTATTTATACACATAATTTAAAAACAGTAAACTTTTTAAAAGTTTGAAAACAAACTTACTTCCAGGATTTTTTTCTACTCAGCTAATTTATAACAGTGTAGACACAGAAACATATTAAAAAATCAATCAGTAAGTTTTTGTATATCTTTATATAAAAGAAATAAAAAACTGAATTCTGATTTTAATTCCCAGTATTAATCATTTCTACAAGTAAAAAATATTCTTGTGTCTCCCGGGCCAAAAAAAAAAAAAAAAAAAATTCTAAATATTCTCCTCCAAAAAATAAATATATAAATGTAAAAAGTATATTGAATACTTTCAATTTTCTTCCATTCCAGTTACAGACATTACTAGTAAAAGTCACAGGAAAAAAATATGATGGAGTTCACATCTCTACATCAATGTAAGTACTGTTTGGCTACAGTGGTTTACTTCCTTCATTTGAGTCATCTTGAATAAATAAGTGCTAAAGTAGGCTCACATCTATGTTACTCAAAACTATTTTAAGTATAAACAAAAGCATTTAATATCTTATTTTAAATTTTTGCCTAAACAGTCCATCCTTGTCTCTCATGGCAATGAAATCTCCAAAATATTCAAAACTGTTATGGTTTCTGTTGTAGTTAGAATGTGAACTGTCCTTTGCAAGCTCACCTTAGACTTGGTCAGCTGGTAGTGTGTTTGGGAAGGTTGTGGGAAACGCAGGAGGAAGAGCCTCACTGGAGGAGGCAGGCCCTAACCTAACCTACTGACACCCTGTTTCCTCACTGCTGATGCAAGGTGATAGCCAGTCTCCTGCTTTCTGCCACTACACCTTCCCTGATTCCCACAACAATGGAGGGTAGCTTTTGAAACTGAAAGTCAGAATAAGCCCTTTCTCCCTTCAGCTCCTTTTGTCAGCATATTTTATCAGAGCATGAAAAAAATAGCTAGGACAGTTGCTAACTTTAATCATACTAAATTTAATGCTGACAGTTTGCAAATGAATACAATAATATTAACTGGAATTTGCAGGTACATACTTTACTTTCAGAGAGGTCAGAAGAGTATAAATCTCACATGCTCCAATCCAGGCTTTTGTTCCCTGTAATTTGTTATTAAGCTGAGAGGCTCCCTGAGGATCAAAACCTTCATTCCATGCATCTTCAATCATGGACTGAATTTTTGGAATACAAGGAACTGACATACCTGAAATTACATAAGCAAATAAGTAACAAGATGATGTACTAATATACTGAACAATAAGATCATGTAGTAACATACACTCTACTAGAAAAATCCACAAGAGTTTCTAAGAAACTTATTCCTAATACCTTCTGTATATCATAAACTCAAAATGATGATAGTACTTTACATACCTTTCAAGCAATCACCATATACATCATTTTTCAGTAACGATGACAGTAGCATCTGGAAATTTCTATAGCCACAACCCCAACCTTTGTCCCCAAAAGATGAATGAAAATGATCCACCACTGTAGAAAGCCACACACACCTCACGTCTGTGGCAGTGTTCTGATAATACCTATGGAGGGCTTCAATAATTCCTAAAATAGAAGAGATTTAGAACCCTTAATTAAACTTCAGTATTATACTTTTTAAATTTTTTTTTGTAATTGTTTTGTTTGTTTAAGATTTATTTATTTATTATGTATACAATGTCTGCTTGCATGTCAGAAGAAGGCACCAGATCTCATTATAGATGGTTATGAGCCACCATGTGGTTGCTAGAAATTGAACTCAGGTCCTCTGGAAGAGCAGCCAGTGCCCTTAACCTCTTAGCCATCTCTCCAGGCCTAGTATTATACTTTTTATACATAACAGTACAGTAAATGCTAAGCAAAAGAGAATAAATGTGACAATATCCTTAGAAAAATGGCCCTAGACTACAAATGCTAGAAGCAGGTTTTAGGACAAGTTACATATAATTCTTCTTTTTAGAACATTCTTCTTCCATCTAGAATCCTTTAAGGACCAGACATCACCTTCAAATTACATTTGTCTAACTCTTAGGAATAATCACTGAATTTATTTTTCCCTGGCCCTACTTATCTAGTCACACTTTGTCACAGCAGGGCATTACAGCTCTTTGTGTATATTTTGTCTCCTTTAAAAAATCTGAAGATACTGGGCCATGATATATTTTATGCAGTTCTTGCTTTCTCTTAGTATTTTATTTAAATGAAATACAAGGAAATATGTCTTTGGGGAGACAGATTAAAAAAGAAAAAACACAACAACAACAAAAAACAAAAATAATCATGTAACCAGTATTTAAAACTATGCCCACTATCATGAAGAACAGAAATTGGTTATAAATATTTTTAAACTTAAATTAGACTCATATTCAAGAAAAATAACAATGAAAATAACTTGTAACTGAGTACTAAGGTTAGATACGGAGAAAAATGATGAAGTGACATTAAACAGTATTAAGTCATGGAATGGGCCCTCTAGAAACAGAAAGATAAATGTCAACTTGGATGAGATCAAGATTTAAGACAGTCCTTGAAGAATGGAAAAAGGAAAACCTATAATTCAAGTAATATATTTAAGTATACTCTAGCATCCTTATTATAGGTAAGGCAGGAATACTTCATTTCCTGGTAACCTTTATCTTAGCAATGATACCATACAACCACATTAATGAAAAAATTTCTCAGAAGTAGTTTCTTTTTCTTCTTTTGTTTGTTTGTGTTTTAGAAACAGGGTTTCTCTGTGTAGTCTTGGCTGTCCTGGACTCACATTAAACCAGTATGGCCTCGAACTCACAGAAATCCACCTTCCTCTGCCTCTCCGAGTACTGGGATTACAAGTGTGTACCACCATGCTGGGCTAGAAGTAGTTTCCTAATTCCTAAATTTCCTTGGCTGTTTTCTCAAAAAGCTACCTTTTGTTTAATTACACTTTATTGTTTAAACTACAAGGCTGTAAATATATAAAGGAGTATTAAGTGACTATTCTAATAGACACTTGTATAATTAATAAAAAAGTAAAACTCTGCCATGAGACTGGAGAGACGGCTCAGTAGAGAACACTTGCAACTCCTGCAAAAGACACGGATTCCATTCCTAGTGCCCACACTGGGCCACTGAAAACCACCTGGAACACAAACTCCAGAGTGACTGACAGCTTTGCAGATGAAAAACAGACTCAATAAGTGGTGTCAGGGAAAGAACTACTTCAATCATATATGAGTGCTTTCAAATATAATATCGTTATAAACAAGGGGGAAAAAACCTAGAGCCCCACTTTGCCTTCCACCCCCACAAACAAAGAAATACCAGGTAGATTAAAATTATAAATATAGGGACTGGAGAGCTCTCTTGTGGCTACCATTTCCAAGGATCCAGGTTTGATTCCCATGTAGTAGCCACAAACATCTGTAATTCCAGCTCTAGAGTATCTGACACCCACTTTTGTCCTCCACGGGCACCAGACCTGTAAGTGCACAAATATACTTGCAGGTGAAACTTTCATTCCCATAATATATTTTTGAAAAAAATATATATATTTAAAGAACCATAAAGGAATACACATTTGTGATCTTTAAAAAAAAAAACTTTCCATTTTTGAAGACAAACAGAACACACACAATAAAGACAAACATTGAGAGGTTTGCTATGTGGGCAAACCAGTAATTCTAGCATTTAGAAAGTAGAGGCAGAGGTCTGCCAAAAGTCTGACGATAACCAAGTTCTAGGTTAGCCTTTGCTACAGAGTTTCAAACTTCCCTCCAAAAAGAAAACCTAAGAAATTTGATTATATTCAAATTTGAAACTTCTATATAAAGATAACCATATATAGGTCTGGCAGAGCAGTGCATGTCTTTAATCACAGAACTTGGGAGGCAGATGCATGTGGATATTTGTGAGCTCAAAACCAGTTAGATCTACAAAGCAAGTTTCAGGAAGCCTGAACATACATAGTGATAACATGTGTGTATGTGTGTGTTTGTACATAAATATTTATTTATATGAATATAAATAAATAAATATTTATCCCCTGGATCTGGGATTATAGGCTGTGGTACACTACCATGTGGATGCTGGGAATTGAACCTGAATTCTCTCCAAGAGCAACAAGGGCTCTAAACTACTGAGCCATCTCTCTAGCCCCAGAAGTCTTTTTTTTTTTATTTAATTTAGATATTTATTACAATTTATCATTTTGTATCCCCACTGGAGGCCCCTCTCTCTTGTCTCCTCCCAGTCCCACCCACCTTCCCTCTTTTCCCTCTATGTCCTTTCCCTAGTCCCCTGAGAGGGGAAGATCTTCTCTCCTTCTATCTGACCCTAACTTATCAGGTCTCATCAAGGCTGGCTACATCATCTTCCTCATCATCTCTAGGGGAAGGTGATTAGAGAGCCTGACACTGAGTTCATGTCAGAGACAGCTCCTGTACCCCTTATAAGGTAATGGGTTTTGTTTAAAAAAAAAAAGTCTAGTCATGGGAATGCAACTGTTTCCATATAAACTGTATTAGTATCCTAATCGATATACAAAAACATAACTGGAAAGAACAAAACAAACCACTCACCAGGAAAAGAAGACATACCATTTTGAATAAGGCAGATCTAATTGTTACTATTGGCTAGCTCTGTAGCTAGCCAACTATACAAGTCTTAAGAAAGTTATATATACTGTAAGTGTCAAGTACATAAGAATGTTCATTTGGACCCAGAAGCAACGATGTATACAAAGCTTTTGGTATCCAAAAATGTAATTAGCAATAGTGTGGCCATCATACACACAAGGCTGTCAAGCATTTGAACTGTGACTTATCCAACTGAAAGGTGCTGAACAGCATAAAATATAACATGAATTAAAATATTTCAACTAATAGCTTTTGTGAGGTGAGCATGATAACCCCTATATGCAAAAACCCTTCTTAATACTGACATGTTGAAATAGACACTAGGTTTAAACTATTAGAAGATGGGATTTAGACTTAAGATAGTTCAACGGGAGTTTTGTAAACTTTACTGCCAAAGCAATACATTCAGTAGAAACCATATGAGCTATGGATAGGCTTGTAACAAGTTATTTTCTACAGAGCACTTCCAGTCAGTCACCATAGTAGAAAGGTGACTGCAGACTGAACACGGTCTAATGGCTGCTTAGATAGGGAGTTCGGTAGTTTTTTGTTGTTGTTTTCCAACTTGTATTTTTGGCTTACAGTGAATTTATCAACACATAATTCATTGTAAATTGAAATGCTTCTGCAGTTTTGTTATTTTTTTTTCTTTAATGTGGCTTGAAGATATGTAAAATTTTGCGTGTGGCTTACATTATGTTTCTGTAATGTGTCTAAACACGCAATAATTTAAGATAAAGTCTCAGTGAGATGACTTCCTTGGGGTAACCAAGGATTTTCTGGCTGATTGAAGGTGTATCCACAAGAGGGAAGTCTTGTCTGGTACTATAACACAGTCAAACCCCTCTGGGTAGGTAACTCACAGACCCTAATAGGAAAACTACTACAGTTTTATAAAGTTGACATGCTATGCCCATCAAACTTCTTCTAACTGTTCATGTTAACATCCATATATTAGTGTTGTTGTACACTTGATCAGAAAAGATTCTTTAGGTAATTGGTGTCAGTAACTAGTGAAAGAACTGAGTGAGAATAAATGACTATTTGATATTCAGTCCTAATTGGGTTATCTACATCATCCCTGCCAAAGCTCAGGAACCATCAAAGAATAGCAGATTTAATAGGTTGTTAAAATAGCAGAGCCTGAAGAAGAGGTGAAATGTGGAATGCTGTCTTCTGGGCATGTATGGCTGCTGGCTTTCAAAGTCAGCAGCAGTAACTATCTGAACAAAACTGAGCTTGCCAACACTCTGTCACAAAGAAAAGAAATATCCACAAGGACTCACCTCTGAGGATTTACAGACATTAAAGCATGACTAGATGGGAACTCATATGGCTCCTCTCCTCTCTTAGGATCTATGGAAAATTAACATTATTGGAGGCTGGGGAGTCAGGAAACACACCTTTTTTCCTGCCCACGCTCCTCTAAATAACCCTTCATCTATGTTCTTGTAAGCAACCCTTAACTGAAACCAAATAAACCTTAACAAATAAAAAGCACACGAAAGTAGATGTGAGAGGGCATCAAGGAGCAGTGGTAGACACTAACAGGGAAGAGGAGAAAGGGAACAGCAGAAGTTGAGAGGAAAGAGGATAATGGGGTGGTAGTGAATGCAACCAGAATATAGTACATATATGTGAAAACATCATAATAAAACACTATTATATATAATTAATATATGCTAATAAAATATAAAAATATCCAGAAGGTTCATTTGCACTGTTGTTAGTTAATACAATAGAAACCAAATTTTAAGTGTACTGTTTACTATGAAAATACAAGTTTAGAAGTTTTAAAATGTTTTGTAAAATATATGTGTGCATACAATCTCACCTTCAACTATATAAACTGTTGACAGACAATTCATCAAATTCAGTGGCTTTATTACTCTAGTGGAATATGCAATAGTAAAACCGTGGCTTGGATTTAAGCACTCACCAGAAGTTTTTGTTTTTCCATCATCAATACCAATAGCTATTGATTCCAACATGTCAGCTTTTCTGCTATGAAATTCAGATGGATGCATTCTTCCCCTATTTACTTCTATCTCCATATGTCGTAGCTGCTGGTGTTTGTATCCTCCAGAATTATCTAAACCATACTGCCGCTATTGAACATAAAAACAAATAACTTATTTTTATGTCCCTGTACTTCAACCAGATGGAAACTTATCACTTTTATTTCTTTGGAAATGTATGTTGAAGTAGTCTCGCCTATGGGTTTTCAAACAAGTAAATGTAAAGATTTTTGTGAAAATTAAACCATACATCCATAACTTAATAATTAGATATGTCTCTGTAAGCTTCTATAGCTCTTATAAATAATTAGTTGCTTTCCTTGTAGATTAGAAATGAAAGACCCATCTTCCTGCCAAGGTATTGAGAAAGGTAAAATTTCTAAAGATAACTGCTAGTTATAAAAGAACTCATGGGAACTTGCTATATTTTGACCCAGTGCTGATCCAGTAAGGCCCACTTAGTTCATAAATCACACAGTCATGCTACATGATTAGCAGTGTCTTTGCAAAATGGACTGAGAGACTCAAATATATAAACTGCCTTTATACATAAGCTTCCTGAGATCTAAACAACTTGGAAAGTCATGTTATGGTTATGGTTAATCTCGATTACCAAGTTGAAATGATTTCAAATCACCATGAAACAGAACTTTTGGGCATGTCTAAATATGGTACCGTCCCATAGTGTGTGATCACAGGCTAAATAAAAAGGATAAAGTAGTTCATCTCTTCCTGCTTCCTGGCTGTGAAAACAATGTGACAGCAGCCACATCCTGCTCATACTGTACTTGTAAACCCTCCTCCCTCAACGTGCTTCTGTTCAGTTATTTGACCAAAGCAACAAGAAAGACACAAGGAAGCTGGCCAACGAGTGAATCTCTACTCTACCAAGCTTGATTTCCTAGGCCTTTAGCCCTTGTTTGTGAGGAGGATTGCAGAAGTTTGAAAATCCAGGCTCAAAAAGCCCTAGAATATTGTAAGCAGGGCTTAGAGGCCCATTCTGATAAAGTGGAAGGACTAGATGCCAGGAAAAAATGTAAGCAGTGGAGGCCTACCTCAGGAGGTTTCAGAGACAAACTAGGCTGGAAGCCATTCAGGACATATTCTGGCAAATAATGTGGCTTTGTCCTGTTTGTGTCCTGAGAACTTCACTGGTGTTCATTCAGAATTAATGGTCAAGTAAGGAAATTTCAAGACAAAATGGCATTTAGAGTGCATTGCAATTACAGCTTATATCCTGTATAAAGGTCTACAGTAGAGCACAAGGTAGAACATAGTGTTGAAAATGTGAAGTTTGGCAAGGAAAAGTGTTAGTTTTAAGTTACAGATAAAGCAAGTATTAAAGCTGCTGCAGGGAAAGATTGCTCCCTGGCTGAAAGTATTTGCTCCCAAACATGATTGCCTGAGTTCAAACTCTGAGCCCCACATATTGGAAGGAGAGAACCAACTCTGAGTTTTCCTCTGACTTCTACAGGCTTAGCAGGGAATATGTACACTCACATATGTATATGTGTGTATATATGTGTGTGTGTGTGTGTGTGTGTGTATACACACACACACACACACACACACACATATAT